AGAAGGAAATTTTAATTAAAGCTTTTATGTATTTTACAATTCTGCTTATTTGGTGAAAAGTGTGGTGTAGCACTTGAGCAGGTTGGGAAAAAAGCTGATGTCACTAGAATTAAGTGTTGATCTTATTTTTAAAATTTATATGTTTTCAACAAAATGCTGCAATTTTATAGAAGTAATCATTCTCTGACCAGCGTGTTCTGTAGAGAGTGCTGAAAACCCCCTGCTGTTATGTGCAGCCCCACTTCTATTTTTCTTGGTTTTATCCTATCAGTTTAAAATAAATATTTTTAGTTGGTTTTTTTTCTTTTTACTTCCTTTTTTTGTTTTTTATGCTTACAAAAAAAGCACTGGGAGTCCTAGAAAGCCTGTTATACTAATCTGTATAAATGCTAAGAGAAACATTCCCAAATTACCGAGAATGTGTAATTTGTGTTCTTATATATATACACTATATAGTGCAAGAGGCTTTGACTTCACAGACAGAAAGCTCCTTTAGGAGTCTGGCTCATTATCCAATAATTTCCGCCCGGATTGCACTCTTGGTGTTGTGTGAATATTTAGTGATTTACGTGTTGCTAAACAGAGCACTATTCTGGAAGGAGCCATTATCCCAGGCCTCCCAGGGCTGAGCTGTAATGGGATGTCACTGCTCATTCCAAGTGTATGCACACTGACCATATTTTATGCCCTGTTTCTCCTCTGCTCAGAAACAAGCAGGATAACAATCCACAAGGTTGTCAGCATGGATGTAATGCAGTCATTCTCACAGCAGATGCTCCATCTGTCATTAATGAAACAATTTAACTAGCAGAAGAAATCTTTAGGTCACCATAAGTTTGTTACCTGGCTGGTTTGGAGCTCTGTTAGAACGCCCACTGCAGATAAATATGAACTCTATGTTAGGGTTTGTGGTGGATATCAGAAATTCCAGTTCTTACCCTCAGCTAGTGTAGTTTCTGGTTTGTGATTATACTGCTTTGTGCGTTGTTATGATTATGGATTTAGTGTCTTGTCAAATGTCTCCTATCTTTCACTCAAAGTACTTTTCATTAGAATTAGTCTGCCTCTGACTGAAGTTATTCTCCTGAAAATCATTCCCTGCTGAGATCACCACCCTTCAGCTGAAATACTTGGTTTTTGTGAGCACCAAAGCAGTGTCAGAGAGCACTGGACATGCCATACAGCTGGCACAAAAGTTTGGAAAGTTTTTTGTTTCAAAGGAGCGATGTAAAGAAAAACAAGGAAATTAATCTTTGAAATTCAAAAAATGCTGCCTATTCTTAGATTCACACATTTCCATTATATTCAGCCATTTCAATATATGTGTCTTTGCTCCTCAATGTCTAAAATTAATGACACCAGGAAAGTCCTAAAAAATGCTCCTGAAAGAAGAAAACTCTTAAAGTCCCTTCTAACAGAATTGTCTCTTACCTCTTTACAGTGCAGTCCTGTGGGTGGAGTGTAGGGTCCTTTTGGGGAAAGTCTCAAGGAACTTCTCCTGGCGACAGCAAACCAAATAGAAGCAGAACGAAGAAAACAATATGATTCCAAAAGAGCGCAGAGTTGTGGAGTTGCTGAGGGTGGAGAGGGAGGTCCTCTATATAGTGTCCTCCTCGCTCTGATAGTGCTTTATCAGCTCAGTCCCACAACAGAGCAGGGGAGAGCAAACCCCAGCACTGAAGAGCAGAATTCATCCCAGCTGAGCTCTTGGCACTGGGGGTGCTGCTGCTGGTATAGATATGAATATCCTGCATGAATATTGCAGTGTTCATGGTGCTTACTGAAGGCTCCTACTGAACTCCCAGCCGTGAACACAGACTCCTTGGAGTCCCCTGATTATTTTAGGAGGGTGGAGAGAAGCATTGTTTGTGGGAAATCTAGTATTAATAGACACAACAGGACATTTCAGAATGGGATAATTCCATAATGGTGGGAGTGGGGAGGGGTAGAGGGCGAAGGGAGGCTGCTATGGCAACAGCTTAGCCTGTCCAACACTTCCCTTTGCCTGCAATAGAGGAGGGTCTGTGGGAGGGCAGAAGGTTTGTGAGTGGGGAGGGGGCTGATAATGGTTTATCAGTGCAAATGGCTGAAGGCATCTCATTCAGCTGAATGAGAGGGGTCTCTTTCAGGACACTTGCTTCGGGGTCCCCATGTCCTGCCCTGTATAATTACTCTGCGTTTGACAGTGCCGAATAAAATCGATGCCATTATGCTGAGATGAGCACAGCTGCATATTTGCCTATAATGGGGTGCTGTCTGCTTTTTCTGCACTCTGTCTGGGCAAACAGTACTTCCAGCTCTGGACAGAGACAGTTGCTGAGAGGAGGACTCAGATTTGGAGAGAATAATAACGATACTTACCACTCAGGCAGGCGCCTGCCAGTTGAGGGTCATAAATGTTTGAGGTCTCACAACAACATCTGTGTTGTGTTCTTACCCCCGTTTTACAGATCTAAGGGTAAGTGATTCATCACAGCAGAATTTTGGAGGAAGAACACCCTGTTTCAGCCGTAAATCTGCCCTTTCCATTTGAACTTTTCCTTTTGTCTGGTGTGTTTTGAGAATGACCTGTTGTGGGATGATGTATAGGGTTAAATCTAGAGGAGATTCAGAATTCTAGGGTAAAAGGCAGCTGCAACTTGCTGGGCGGACTGAGGTCGAGATGCTCCCCAATACAACGGTGAACATCTGCTCAGAGAAACCTAAAGGAGTGTGGAATGAAGTGGACACTACATAGCCCTCCTCCATTCAAATCCCAGCAGAATGGGAGAACATTGTGGTACTGAGACTGTACAATCCCTGTCTGATAAGGGAAAATCAAGATGTTCTGCTGCTCAAGCCAACTACCATGTCAAAGCCCCTCCTCAGCTGCCAAGCTGTGAGCAGCCACCCCTCCCATTAGGTACACCAGTCAGAAATAAAAGGTATTTATGACTAGAGCCATGCAAACTTCACCCAATCATAAAGAAATTAGTATAAAAGTAAGCTGGGGATAGGGGGAACGCAGGAGAAGACCTTCACTGAAGCTGCTGGGATTAGTTGACAGACTGAGTCTATCTTTTCCCCTCCCCAGAGGTATGCCTTGGTTGAAAATTATACTCTGTGTGCATTAAATGCTGCTTTTAGGACTAGAACTTGTGTTTGTGCTCACCCCATAGAATGTTAGTAGATTGCTTGGTATCAGAGCTTGTTGGAGGTAGCCTGGATGAGGAAGAGGAGTTTAGAAGGTGGAAAGAGAGAAATTCTGGTGATATGAGCCAGACTGTTTAAAGATAAACAAACAGACTGTCCTTGTTAGATTGTGAGATCTCTCACGGAGGAGAGCAGGTTTCTTTTGATTGGATGATGTCCAGTCAGAGACTTGTAGCTTTTCCAGTTAAGTACTTAGCAGTTATCTAAAGATTCATGTATCCCCCCTGTTTATGCATGTCAGTCCCAAATCCTAACCAGTGCCCTGTCCAAGTTTGTGCATACCTATCCCCTTTTTCCAGAATCTTCCTTATCTGCCTATTTTGTAAAATAAAGTTAGATCAGCTATAGCACCCAAGGCTGCTGTCTCTGTGCTAATTGTCTCCCGAGCTTGGCCGATATCTAACATCTGGATGAGACAAAATACGATCCTGCAAGGCACTCTAATACCAACTGCAGCTCAGATGAAGAACCCACTGATCTGAGGTGACCCCCAAATCCCAAACCGTGATAAGAGCTTGTGCTTGCTTAATATATGTATCAGTAGATATTTTTGCAGTTAGAAACTATCACTGACGACCTTCAAACCTTATTAATGTGTCACAATTCGTGTTAATAAAGAGGGTTATTCTGTGAACTGTTCAGGTGAGTCTTTGCAGTTGCTGGCAGGGGAAAGAACCTTGGCAGGGCCCGCTGAGGGGTCTTGGCTCTGTTGAGCACCCCCTAAGAGGGTGGTTGAAGTACCCTCCAACCTTGTGAATCTGTTGGTGAAGGGTCTCGTTACAAGACACTGACACACTGTCGGACACCAAGGTCTTGACTTTCCTGGGGGTACTGACAGGCAAAAATCTAAACTCCCACCTTTTCATGTGACACCTGTAAATCTCAGCAAGTGTTTGACATAGTGATAATACAGTGAAAGGAATTCAGCAGGCTTGTTAGTTTTGGGACAAAGCAACCCACAGAAGTAATTTCTCTGCCATGTTTGTTTTATCATAAATTGTTCCCAGCACACAGCGTTGCAGCTAGAGGGTTTGGTAATAGCAAGTAAACTGAATAGCTTCTCCTCAGAGCTCCTAAATATTGGGATAAAGCTGGTGGATTCCATCAGCCTTTATACATATTTTTTATGCCTTTTTTTCTGAGTTCGTCCACAAAGAATTTGCTTTATCTACCTATTCAGGGATGTACTTGTAATGTGTTCTAGAACGTGTGATAGGAACACAGTTGCATTTACCATACAAAATTGCAAATTGCATAGTTCTTTATTTTCTTTAACTTAGGACTAAAAGGAATTTGTAGGTCAAAGACCCAGCATTCAATTGTGTCTTGTTTGTCCTGGCTGTTGAAGACTGAGGAATCCAGCCATGGTAAAGGCATGCAAGCAATGCACTTTGGTTTAATACTTCTTGTTCTCTGTCCTCAACTCCCTCCCAGTGCTGTAGCGCCTCTGTTATGCTTGGATCCCATAGTTAGTAATAGAGTATATTGTCATCTTTCCTTGCCCAGCTCTCAAAAAAGATCTAAAGTGTTAGAAGGGATACCTAGAAGAATAATTATATGATATCCCTGATGGGATGTAAATCGGTGAATGTTGAAGGAGTATTCTAAGGAAATACTCTGTGACTGCTCTATCCACATATTCTTCTCTGTGCAACTGGTGTGAAATACTGGATATCAAAGTGAATTATGTGTAGTCTGACCTTGGAAGACACTTGTAATAAATAAAGTACTTCCTACAGTATGAAGTGTATGTTGTTTTAAGAGAAAACATTTTTTAATACTTTATTTTCTATACTTTGTTCAACCAGGCATCTGTGCAGGCCCTGCCATAACCGTGAAAAAGCCAAGGGACTGGGCAAGTACATCTGTCAGAAGTGCCACTTGATAATTGATGAGCAGCCTCTGATGTTTAGGAATGATTCCTACCATCCAGATCACTTCAACTGCACCCACTGTGGGTATGTTCTCATCTGTAAACTCTGACAAAAAAGAACAGAGACAAACAGTTCAGTCAGCAGTGCAGTCTCTCCCAAGGCCTGAACTTTGTTGCCTTCACATTGTTGAACAAACAGAAATTGGGTGAGGAAAAATCGGAATAAATTTGGAAAACCTACAGAAGCTTTAGTTTTATTTTGCCATTCGATATTCTCTTATTCTAACCTTGAATGACACTACTTTATAATGAAAATATTTCCTAGATACAGCTTACCTGAAAGGCTGTGTGCAGATTACCATAGCAGTGTTGTCCAAAGATAGCAGTTATCAGGCTATTCAAAACAGTTTCATTTTGTCCGGGATAGGAAAAAAAAAAAAAAAAAAAAAAAAAGAGAGCTGTGTTAGTGTTCTGGCACAGACTATTACCATGCTGTCTGACCTGATTTACTTTGCCACAAAGGCAGTATAATTGGGACACAGTACAGCCCTAGACTGGGTAACAGTGCAAGCGACTCAGGGTTGGGCACTGCTAGGATAGTTCTTGTACCTGAACTCTCCTATTCAGAGACAGCTCAAGTCTTAGCATGGCACTGCCTTGTTCCACGTGTAAGTGCACCTTGTATTTCTGCAAGGGTTTGTAGCTGAAGATGTGATGTTCTACATACGTTCTTGTCTGGCAAACTGAGAAAGCAGTTTGAGAAAGATGAGTTGACAATAACTGTATTTCACTAACGTAATGACCCTGCATTTGTAGCACGAACGTTGCCTAAGTTAACATTCCAGTTTAGTCTTCCAAAACTTCATCCTGGGCATTAAAGAGCTTCCCTTAGTGTTCTTACTTCAGGGAATGTTTTTTTTCAGGAAGGAGCTGACTGCCGAGGCCCGGGAGCTGAAGGGAGAGCTGTACTGCCTGCCCTGCCATGACAAGATGGGGATCCCCATCTGTGGGGCCTGCCGCAGGCCCATCGAGGGGAGAGTGGTCAACGCCCTGGGAAAGCAGTGGCACGTTGAGGTGAGGCCTCTCTGAATCTGAAACTGCCTTCAAGAGCCAGTTTGGAAAAGGACAGATTTTCTTAGTGCTGTTTGAAAACTGTAGACATGTAGGGGATCTGTAATGTATGAGTTCAGACAAAACCAAATTGCTTATGTTTCAGACTGTCTTCACCTCTGATGTGTGTATCATTGCAGCAGGACCATCAGGAAAGCTGTGCTTTTGCAGCTGTAATAACCTTATTTTTAAAATGCCTGAGTTGCATTGTAAAGACTCTTGCAGAATATGATTCACTGAACAGTGTTTACTTACTAATAAATTTCCATATTTTCTATGATGTACTTGAGATACATCCTCTCCAATCACAGTTAACAGGTACATAAATGTGTTGGAATTCCTGCTGCAGACAGAGCCAGTGCAGTTCTTACTGCCTTTTCAGCTCATTGTTTCTATCACTTTCAGCTGAGTCATCACAACCTGCTCTGAAGTTTTTTAGTGATTTATGTTTTCAGTCATTTAAGCCTTATAGGGCTTGAACTGAGAGATGCTGCTGCTCATTTGATGTGTATTCATATTTTTTCTGTTCTGTTTCTCTTCTTTGAAACCAGCAAGATAATAATGCTCAAGTCTACCACTATAGACACAAGTCCTTTCCAGCAGGTCTTCTACCTATCTTTAATACAACTCCTAATTACTATAGAGACTAAATATCTCCTCTTCTCTTTTGCTTCCATAAAAATTTTCCTGTCTGTGCTTCACTAAAGCATTAAGAGGTAACAGTTTTAAACAGAAAGAGGTAGATTTAGATTAGATGTTAGGAAGAATTGGTGGTGAGGCCCTGGCAAAGGTTACCCAGTGAAGCTGTGGCTGCCCCATCCCTGAAAGTGTCCAAGGCCAGATTGGACAGAGCTTGGAGCAACCTGGGATAGTGGAAGGTGTCTCTGCCCACGGCAGGGGGTGGAAACAAGATGGGCTTTAAGGTCCCTTCCAACCCAAACCATTAAGTGTCACGTATTAAACCATGATTTGCAGCTGTGTAAGTTTTTCCCTGGTGATGGGAAAGTCACTTTATCTGCCACAGAATGTCTTTTTTTCTTCTACAGCATTTTGTTTGTGCCAAATGTGAGAAGCCATTCTTGGGGCACCGACACTATGAGAAAAAAGGATTGGCTTATTGTGAAACTCACTATAACCAGGTAAATTCTGCCATCTATGCTGTAGGTGCTTGCTCTGACTGGCAAATGCTTTTTTGCATTTTAATATGCAAAGCTGTGCAGATTTTGCGTAATCTGAACTTGTAGAGGCAATGCAATATTAAGAAATCTGTGAGATTTAACATAAAAAGTAGTTTTTCTTGGTAGATGGAAAAGCAATGTTGAGAACAGAATAGAAGCGACTTGGGGATACTGATTGTAATCTGTACCATTGACAGAAAAGCACTGACCGTGGGTTGTGATTAAAATCCCTGTAATTGTACTTCTAAACTATTTGTATGGCCATCTTTGATAATTCTTTCTTCCGTGGGCCTGAGACAACTGTTATGTTGTCTAAAGCATGGGAAACTACATTTCAAAAGCCAGTCAAACTCTGTTTTTTCTGTATGATTCTATGGAACAGCTATGACTTTGATATTTTCTTCTGTCAGATAAATGAGGTAAGTGTTACTGTTTTGATAGAAGCTCTAGGTTTATTTTGGTATTTACAGTTGAGCATCAGGAGATGTTTGTGTACAGTAAGCATTATACTCTACTGAACCTTTCTTCAATTGCCACATATACAGGACTTTAAGATCCCATAACAGTGGTAGAGTGTGAGGCATCAACAAAAAAGGTTTTGTAGTATTTAGTGGTATGAGATCCAAAGGAACATAGACTATTTGGCAAGTGTATGAGAAGTTATTCAGAAGATTTAAATTGGTATATTTGGGGGCCACTGCAGCATCTGGGAATTCTTGGATTGTTAGGATTTAATGTTCACACCAGCTGCATAGTGTGGGGAGCATGAGTAGTCAGCAACATGAGTTCCTGTTCTTATTTCTTTTTCTGTGCAGCTCTTTGGAGATGTCTGCTACAACTGCAGCCACGTGATAGAGGGAGATGGTAAGATTTGTTCTCTCTTTGTTTTGGGTCGTTCTATTTGTTAGTGCAGCTGTTGCAGTCCCACAGTTGCAAGGCCCCAGTGTTTGTTTTCACATCTGGCACCATTTGAATTTGGATATAAATCTGAATTCAAATAATCTGGCAGTTTCTTCTTACTTTGTGCTTTTGCTTTTGCAGTGGTATCAGCTCTTAACAAGGCCTGGTGTGTGAATTGCTTCTCCTGCTCCACCTGCAATATCAAGCTCACACTGAAGTAAGTCAGTGTTTATATTTTGGACCATGTGACACATTTGCCCCTAAGGTAGGGTATTAGCCTGGGGAGCCATGAACCAGGGGCTCTCTGAGGAGCAGTATACCTGTTCTCTGTGGGAGCAGTGCTTATAATTCCACTGATTTCAGGATTAAAGGGGAGCTGGCATTCAGCATGCTCTCTGATTTAATTTTGTTTCTTAATCTGTTCTGTAAGAAGGTTGGGTAAGAGGAGAACTCATTCAGCAGTACAGAAGGAAGGCTCTGAATTTTGAGGAACTGCCTGTCCTGAACAACCCAGAACCTCCATGTCTCCTAAAGTTTGCATGCTCCCCTCAATGAAAATATTTAAAATTCCACAGATTAGTTTGAAATAAAATACTATGGTATTTACCTCAAATATATAGAAGAGGGACAGGAAAAAAGCAATCCCACATTCTTCCCGTCTCAGATTCAAACCCTTATCTTGCTATGCTGGGTTGGCTCCACTGGCCTTGTATATGAAGGAGCTCTAATTCATCACAAAGAGGACCTTTGAAGTGATACTTGCATTCTACAATAACAAAATTATTGTTCTAGATTGTTACATACAAATATATAGCAAAATCTGGCTCTTTGTTTAACTAGGGATGCTAAAGACCCACGTTCCCTGGTAAGAGCCCAATCTCTGTTCTTACATCACCAGATGATGAGTTGTTTTGTAAATGCAGATGCATGGAGATTTGAATTATTGAAGCATACAATTTGCAAATACCATTTTAATGACTGCTCTTTGTGTTAAAGGAATAAATTTGTGGAGTTCGACATGAAACCTGTGTGCAAGAAGTGCTATGAGAAATTCCCTCTGGAGCTGAAGAAACGCCTGAAGAAGTTGTCAGAGCTGGCATCCAAGAAGGCCCATCCCAAAGCTCTAGATTTAAACTCTGCTTAAACAGGTCTGTCAGTCTCCTGACTGCACTCTTACAAAAGCTGCTGCTCACTGCAGCTCTTGATTACAGAGGCAATTACTAAGAAGTGAAACCAAAGATAAGTAGTCCCTTCTCCTGCTTCTGGTAGTGTTGCTTGCATCTAGATTCTCTCTTTTCTCAAGCATTTGTCTATTAACACTGGCAGAAAGAGGAGTATAGTTTATGCTTGAGCAGTGTACAGGCTGGTTATTAATTTGCTAATAACAACACTTTTTGCCTTTGTGGAATTGTACACAATCTTTCCTTCTTCAATTTAACTGTGCTTGTCTCTCCATTCCTCTTAGTCTAAGGAATTTGGAAACAGTGGTTGAGTGTAGGGCTGGAAGAAATGTCTGATTTGCTCTTTTTCAGATAAAGTATCAACATTTTTCTTCCTACTGTGACTGAAGAAATTTTTAGGTTTTTTAGTACTTAGGCAAATATTCTGAAAGTTGTTGCTCTTTGCTACATGCAAAAAGTTCTGGTCTTTCTCCATTTTCCTTCTGAGAATATATGGGTGCTGTACAGTCCTTCTGGTTTGTAGGTTTACTGGAAAGGCCCAGGAACCAACAGCTCTGGTGTCTGCACTGCCTGCTTTGTGTGTCTTAGGCCCAGTGCTAGGACAGCTGCAGAGGTTTGCTTTGCTGCTCCCCTGTTCAGTACTGAGGAGATTTCAGTTGTCAAGGCCATGTCAGCCTCTTCAGAATAGTGTTGGGTTCTCCTTGAGGAGGAGATGGATGGCTATGGGGAAACAAAACATTTTATTAGAGTTGACACTCTTCTTTTTCTCTGTTCTCTACTACTACATGGCTACCTGAGCTTCTACTGGTCAACACAAAGCATGTCCTCCTGTCCACTGGTGTAGCTGATATTTCTTGAGGCAGTGTGGCTGGAGCCTTGGTTATTCCTTTGCACAGGGAAATCAAATGGATAATATGGTACCCGTTTAGGCACTTAAGTTTCTCTGTTCTCACTGAGTATAGGCTTGTTGGTCATCCTTCAGAAAGCCCAATACATGAAGGCATTTCTGTTGTTTACAGTCTGTAGCAAATGTGGTCTTATGCAGAAAAAAACCCAGAAAGTACTTTTCTTAACATTTTTACCCAAATAAGATTTGCCCCATCACCTTTCTTAAGACCTGAGTGTACTTAGAGAGAGGATCTCTTCCTAAATGTGTACATCTCAAGCATATAGTCCTGCCCTGTAGTTTTGTCTATCCCCAGTGAAGTTTCACTGGTCCTACTGCCTCTGCTACTACAACCCAAGGTGCGGAGAAATTTACTGGTTTTGAACATTCTCGATACTTCTTTAGGAGTGAGCCATCACCAGTGCTGTTCCTGAGCCCACCTGCACGCTGTATAATCACAGGGAGCTTTGGAATCCTCTGGAAGCATCCCCTGTATTTTCTTGTGAACTAAGCTGAGCAACCTCAAAATCCCTTTCCATGAACAGTTGAGGTCGTGCCTGCCCTTGTGTGAGGCTGACAAGCACTGGAGGACTTCTGTCCTTTGCATGATTTAAATCTTCCCAAAAGTGGGTAGATTAGTAGGTCAAATGAACACAGCAGTTGGGCCTGGGCACCACCTATCGCGGGGCAGGGGTCAGTCCCGCGACAAGACCCAGTGGCACAACTTGTATGGGGAACAGGACACACGAGTGTGACCCACAAAATGGCGTTTATTAAAACAAGAAGACAGCTTATATACAGGGGAATACAGAAGTTTCGGGAATAGAGGAGGGTTTCTGCTAGGAAACATCAAATCCTGAGGTTCAGTGATAAGGGGACTTGGGGAGATAGGCTGCAGGGAACATGTCTGGTCACTCGAGGGGCAGGGAGAGCTAGGGAATAATGGAGGTTTGTGTCCTGGGTGCACAGACAGGGGAATCTGCTGAAGCTGCAATGCTGCGGCCTTGTAGCTGGGTCCCAAGCAGTTCTGCACAGCTACAGTTGCTGGAAGTCTTCTAGATAGATCCTTTCTTCTGAGCCTTCCTTGCAGCTTTTTTGCATCTCTCTCCGCTCTCTGTAGGCCTCTTCTGGTCCACCCCCGACACCACCCTGCAGCCCCAGGTGAATTAGCTAGCAAGAAGTCGAAGTTTCCCCATTTCTTGTATGTGTGAGCAGCAACTGGACTGGGACAATAATCTACCTTAAAATTGCGTTAACATGATTGCTGGATCTCCTACCCATGGAACTGCACCCCTGATACCAGAGCAGTGGTGGGAAACCCTGGTGAACTGTGTGCAGATCAAAATCCCACGTCAGACCATCTCTTAGATTCTCCCTGTCTTTGCTAACTCAGTTTTCCCTCATCTGCTTTGGTTTTTGTTGCCCTGAGTTACCATTAACTTCTCACGGTGTTATACTGTATCCACTGTAACACTGATGAGGGGATAGGCCTGGGTTTATAACAGTAAACTCTTCCATCCTCTCCTGGCCACAATCTCTGTAGATTCCAGTAAGAGCAGCTGCTTGTGTCACTGCTTTAGGAGAGCACTTGCTGTTCTCTCACTAGCCTTAAAACAGACTTTATTAGTTAAAGGCACAAAGAGCGTGTCTTTTGGTGCAGTTGTGTGTGGCCACTGTGAACACCCATCCTGCAAACCTATTGTTGACATTTTTGTCACAGCATGAAATACAAGGAGTGCTGCTCTAGGTTCAGTTCAGTGGGTTGTGCAGATCCTCAGCATAAAGCATTCTGGCCTGTTCCTGTAATCTCAGTCCCAGGCTGTGCCGTGTGCTGAATCTGGGCAGCTGTGTGTCCCTCCTGGGAAGGAGGTGGAGAACACGGAGCAGCACATTCCTGTAAAGAGGGAAGGACTACGTCACTAGCAGGCAATAGGTAATATTCTTTCAGTGTCCACTCCAGTTCAGCAATGGAAAATTGTGTATGTGGAGGTGAATGGAATTACTTTTGTAGTGCAAGTAGAGATTTAGTGTGTGCTCTTACCTTGTCTCATGCTAGAAATTCAGCAGACCTTGTAAGCTTCAAAGAAGAGTTTATATCATTCTCTTTGATAGGCTCTTCGGTTCTCTAGGATTTGGATTAGGGGGGGACAAAAAATCATGGTAATCCCTGATCTCTGTATTAGTGGAAGATGATATTCTCTTAGTATCCCCTAAAGTATTAATTTTTCACAATTATTTTTCTAATACTTCTGTTGCCTATAGCCTGCCATATGCAGAGTTACAGTAGTGAATATTGCTGACATACCTTTTGTGGGAGAGTGGAATTGAAGGAGTAGGAAAAATAATATAAATAGTTTTAAAAAATGCATCTTCCTCTACTTCTGAGTCTGCTTTTTAAAAACCAAGCAGAATATAGTGCAGGCTCATTAATGTGTTGATAGGCTGACAGGTTTGTTTTCTTTTTTAATGAAGTCAAGGTGTCAGTCAGAAATAAGCTGCATGTTTTTTTTCCATTGTTGTAAATTGGCCTGCTAGCCAAATTCACCCTCAGTATCTCACCACTGGAGAGTACAGATTTATGCCAAGGTTGAACTTGTCTCAGAAGCCTACACCTACTAAAAGCTGTTGTCTCATTCTATGGGTTTATAGTTTACATTCTTACTTCTACATAACTAAAATCACTAACATTGACTGAGTACACTTGAAAATGGTTTTGCTTTTAGAAAGCACAGTATGTGAAGCTTGTTTGTATTCAAAGGATATGCTAATCACTTGTCTTGATGGCAACTAATATGCTCTCTAGGGTTTGCATCCTGGTGTTTATTTTTGCAGCAGTCTCTGCAGTGTTGGCAAATGTTGGTCAGCCTTTGGTTCAGAGGGTTCCTGATGTCACGTGGTGTGTATTAGATGATATGACTGACACTTTTTTCACGAGTGATTAGATGGTGAAGGAATAGTTTGCAGGCAAACATAATAAATGTGGTTGTACTAGTCTGTAAAGCACTGTTTAAGTGCTGAGGGTGTTATAGACCGAGAAAAGAATTAGCAGCTACCTTCCTTGGTTCAGGCCTTGATGGGCGGTGTAGGTTTTGCATCATGTAGAGCTCTCATTTTATCACACATGGCTTGTGCTGTCTAATCAAAACGTGTGATTGTGCATTGAAATGCTGTAATATTGTATCTTTGTATGTTTCTATAATAAAGGTAACTCTAATACATTTTAAATCTTTACACACAAAAAAAAATTGTATAATATATGGTTAAAAAATATACTATATTTGCAATGATGAACCAGAAAGCATCTGAGGAACCCTGGGGATTGCCCAAACCTGAGACACTGTTGTGGTGAATTCATATTTTAGATCTGTGCTGCTTCTCTGGTGATATGTTGGTTGATGAGGGTGTGCAGAAAGGGTTATTAACTTTTTAGAGGCTGTACTGTACAAAATGTGTTTGTACACAGATGGGATGCTATGATCATTTACAGGCTGTAGTAGATACTTGATAAATTCAGGTTATGTGGATCTAGAGCAAATACTCAAGATTCTTGGTAAGAAAAAGACATTGTGGTTGATTTTCTGCAATCTTTATTTAAAAACCAAGAACAGTACAGTTTGGCTGCAGAATTTCTTTCTGTACAGGTGAATCATTGAATGCTCCTCACTTATAGCCAGGTAGATCAAAACCACTCCAAGGAATGAATCTCCAGTGTTTCCATTGCCAGCAATGGACATTACAGCAGGAGTGTCTAAGTGCTTGCAAAAGGATCACTGTTCTGACAGGTGTGGCACTCGTTTGGATGCACAGAGTGGGGCTCTTCCCTGCCACCCATGAACAAAAATCCGATCAGTGTTTGAATTTCTCACACACACACACACACACACACACACGTGTCTGAGGGAACAAGGGAACCATTGTGCATCCATTGGCAAAGTTGAGAGATCAGGCAGAGCTGCTTTCCCAGCACTGCCAGATTGTGTCTCAAGGAACTTGGTGTAAATGCTTTAAGACATGTCCATGTTTCAGTGTGAGCAAGAGAGAAGTACTTTTTCTCGCTCCCACTCCAGTGCATATCTGCTTTACACACTCAGCACACTCTGGTTGCTATGGGACCAAAGCTGTGTGTCTACAAAGGTCTGAGAGATGAACATAAGAGCTGAATCAAATTTTACCACTCAAACTGTCTGCTAAACAGGAAACATAATCAGGAGAAATTAAAGCTATTCTTGTCTCATGAAGGAATGTCTGCATAACTCCACGTTGAGAACATTTTTATGGAGTAGAAAAGTCTCTTTTCAACAGATGTCTGTTAGACTGAGTTCTTCAATTCTAATTTGCACTGAATAGTCCATCTATAACTTGAACTAGGAGCAACTAAAAGTAATGGACCCAAAATCCAGACTCATTCAAACTTTAGGCTTACTTAGAAACTGCATAGTCAAAGTAGTGTTAGTTTCCAAGAGC